CTTGTGCATGCTGTGGCCTATGTTCAGCCTGACCTTTCCTTTCTCCTCTCCTTTCTTTCAGCGTTCATCCCTCCTAGTGTCCTGCAGCCCTACACAGCTGTATAGGGCTTTCAGTACAGACAATATTCATACAAACCACATCTAGCCCCCTCGGACCAGCCTGTGCATGGCACTAGGAGTAGGCTCTGGGCTTCTCCAGCAGCTTCCAGAGATTTCCTGGGATTTCACTGACCTGCCCCTTGGCTATAAATGAAGGCAAGACTCATTTTCCCTGTTTTACAGGGAAGGAGCCATAGGGTTATGTTTTAAGTAAGGCCTGAGATCATGGGTGCCTTTTGTTCTGGGTCCCCAAACTGCAACTGGCTGAAGTCTCCCTCTCTGCCTCTTCTTCAGTGTCAGACAAACCTGGCACACATCAGCCGCAATTGCACCTGGCCAAAGCAAAGCAGTGACCACAGCCACTCAGATCTGTCATCCAGAGCCCATCCCCACAGGGACTGGGCCCTCTGAGGTCCATGCTAAATGCTGAGAGCTAAGGAGAAAGTTCAGGCAGGAAGAAGATCAATAAATTGTCATTTTAAAAGGAGGTCTCAGTAGGAGGAACTGCCTCAGCAGACAGAATAAGGTGGCTGGCCATATCATATGCACAAAAAGAAGAACATTGAGCACACCCAGAGAAGGGAACAGAGTTGGGGAAGGATCTGGAGCACAAGTCTGATGAAGAGCAGCTGAGGGAGCTGGGGGTCTCAGTCTGGAGAAAAGGAGGCTCAGCGTGTTTGGTGGGTGTTGGGCTCTTCTCCCTGGTAACAAGTGACAAGATGAGAGGAAATGACCTCAGGTTGTACCAGAGAGGTTTAGGTTGAGGATTAAGGAAAATTTCTTCATGGAACGGGTGGTAAGGTGCTGACACAGGGCAGTGGTAGAATTACCATTCTGGGACAGAGGGGTAAATACCCTTTCCCCAGAAGATTTTACTACAAGGAATCAGTTATTTTGCCTAGGAAAAGCTTTCCTGCCACTTTCTCAAGACAGTTGCTGTTCTCTCCCCCCCATTCCAGAGAGATTCTTTCTCTGATATGTGAGGAGAGAGTTAACATTCACAGACATGTTACAGGGGCACCACGGCCACGAGAGAACCGGGGAGTCAGCAATAAGAAAGCCTGAAGGAGGAACAGGAGGTGTGCCTTCTCAGGCCCAGCACTGTTTGCAGCTGGTGCAGTTTTCCTTTGTAAGTTTTTTAGTGTTCTCGAGTTCAGAATAAACCTTTTTGGATTCTTTACACTGCGTTGGCATTTTGGGGGGTACCTGTGTGTATCTTACCTCACACGGGAAGTGTTCACAAACCATGTGGATGTGGCACTTAGGGACCAGGTTTAGTGGTGGCCTTGGCAGTGCCAGGTTAATGGTTTAATTTGATGATATTGGAGGGCTTTTCTAACCTCAGTGATTCCATGATTTACCCAGGACTTGGTGCCTTAGGTGAGGTACTCCCAGAGTTTCAAAAGCCTCTATGTGCTAGTAGGTAGATGTTAACCAGTCTCCAAGGAGCAGCACAGATCACCTTCCCTTCCCTTTTTTGTTCTGGGCTCTTGTCAAGATGAGCTGGGATTGTGATACTGAAACACAGTTCTTCTGTCCAAGTTCATCTGTCCCTATCAAAGGAGAACCAAAGTAGCTAATGAAAGATTTAACTGCCATGTCTAGAGGGAGAGCAGGATTTACCTCTTTCCAAAGTCCCCAGGCAGCATCAAGAGTGTGGAGGGAGCTTGGGCTCCCTTTGATATGGGAATTTCACTGCATAGGAGAGATGCAAACACAGTCAAAGGGGCTGAGGAAAATCAGACAGGCACAGGAAGGGTTGGAAAACCAGTGTCATACCTGGTTTTATATTAGGTACTTATATCTCCCTTATAGGGAGGTATAAGTAATTAATAGGAAAGGGAGGCATAAGTAACTAACAGGAAAACCCCTGGAGTGTATGGATGCTCTTCCCGAGAGGCAAGGACCTGCCCCAGCACCCAGCACTGTTTCTTCAGCCCTCACTGCCACTGTCCCCACCCTTGGAAATGTTGGACACTGGAGAGAACAGTGATGGACATCTGCCACAAGGTCTGTGAGCTGTAGAGAACCTGCCAAGAGCCTTGTGGAAATGCCCAAAGGAAGCAGATTGTCACATGGACAGAGACCTTATGTCATCACTGCTGGATAAACATGACATCCAACTTGCGCACAGGGACCCAGTGATCAGTCTCTGAAGTGTGGCAGCAACCTGCAACAACTGGAAACCACACCAGGAGAAGTTCAGAGATTTCCCACCTGAAGCCAGAGGAGAGAGGGAAGCAAGATGAGCATTTTCCAGAAAATTCTGGAAACTAATTTTGAAATTCTTCCTAAGGCATACTGGTAAAAGGGGAAAAAAAGGTACTTTTTATATTTTCACACCCCTCCCCCCAACCCCAAAATTTGAAACTTTATATTCTAAAAAACTTGGTAGCCTTTCTTCTGATATTTTAAAATGTTACATTATTGCACAATATGCACAATATGCACAACAGAAAATATGTTCTTGGATTAAAAAGGTGCTTGAAAGGAAGGCAGCTGTGCTGTGCTCCCTGCAGATGTGCTGTGCAGATGTGGGCAAGCAGAGGAGGTGACTGCCCCAGTGAGGTGGCACTGAGTGGTGCTGCCTCAGAGGTGCTGGTTGGCACCTGCCAGTGGGTCCTGCCCTTAAGGCAGGGGCACATTCAACCACTAGTGGTGGATGACATCACATCACTTCTCTGGCCATTCCTTCATTTTCCTAAAATTACTGTTCTTCCCAAACCAACCGTTTCTCTGCACAGCACATGGGGGGCTTTCGGTCTTACTGCAATATGAAAACCACCAGGAAAAAGGATCTCCAGTTCCTGGTGGGAATGGTGAGAGGAGGTGGGAGGGCAGCTTGGGGTAGAGGGGCAACAGAGCTTGAGGTCACTTGGCAACAGCAGCAGCAGCAGCAGTGGCAACAGTGGCAGCAGTGGCAGCAGTGAAAGTCACTGCATCGGTGGCAGCGGTGGTGGCAGCAGCAGCAGCAGTGGCAGCAGTAGCAGCAGTGACAGTCACAACAGCAGCAGCAGCAGTGGCAGCAGCAGTGGCAGCAGCAGTGGCAGTGACAGCAGTGACAGTCACAGGAGGCCAGGCACGAGCTGCAGCAGCAGGGGCTGAATGCCTGGACACATGTTTGGAGGCTGTCACATACACATGTAATAAAAGCCAGTGAGGTGGATGTTCCAGTCTGTAACCCTCGTGTGTGCAGTCCAAACCCTGTGTTTCCAGCTTGTTTGCCTTTGGAGAGCTGCTCAATAGCACTGCTTCCCTCTGGCTGAGGAATCACAGGCATCCCGCCCACGCCACACAAAACCTGGCATTTCCAATCACATCATCTTCCTTCTCATTTTTAACAGGAAAAGAGCAAAACCAATGCCAAACCACCTCAACATGACATCACTAGCCAGACACGGTTCATCCACAGCTCCTGCAGCTGATTAAAAGTTGCTGTGGCCTACAAACACCCCACCTGAATTGCTACTGCTGTGTGTCTGGGTCAAAGCTGTCCTAATGCAGCTGCCACAGCTGATGGTCAGTAAAACAGCTCTGGAAAAGACAGAGTCACTATAATTTCTTCCATGTTTTTGCACAAACAAAGAAGCAACTCTGATTTTTTGTGAGCTCCAGCTAGGCCCTGCTGTGTCTGTCAGAGGCTGCTCTGCTGGGGCTGGGGAGGGCAGAGTTTTGGGGGGCTCCCATACGAAGGGGAGCAGCACAGAGGAGCGAGCAGATGGGCAGATGTTCCCCTGAGAAGATGCTGGGTGTGAGGAACCAGCTGCCCTGGTACACTGATATTAGGAATAAACAGGTGTTCTTCCGAAGTTTGTAGTGTGGTTGCATTTGGTGGTGGGAAGTGACAAGTTAATGGTTGTTCAGTTATCATTTACAGAGACGTGCAGTTTGCCCAGAAACAAGGGGTTTTATCAGCAGCAAAGGATCAGTAACCTCTATTTTGAAAATGCTGAGGACCTTTCCTCTAATGACCACAGAATAGGGGATACATTGTAGAAGTGTCGGGAAGGCTGTAACTCCCGAGTATCTCATCCACGGGGAACCGGGGAGAGACCTGCATTTGGGGCAGAGGGGATAAAAGAGGCTGCGACCTCGATCAAGTTGAGACACCTCACTGGGGATTGTCTAGTGAACTATCCCTTTTATTCGAATAAAAGTTTTAGTTAACTCCTCTGCCTCCTGGCCATTTTTGAGGCTCTTAATACCACAAATATATTTTTCAGAACACTGAAGTCAGGGAAGCTGATGTGGTCCTGGCTCAGGAGGCAGCACTGGGGGATGTCCCCAGTCCCCACCACAGCCAGCACCAGAGGCACCCACTGCTCCAGCACCCCAAGGGAGTGAGATTATAACTGGCTGCTGCCTCCTGGCACAGGCAAAGGCCCCAGGAGGGGAGATTCCCGCCTACCCTGCTCTTGTCAGTGTCAGCATTCAGGAACAGGCATGGTTATTTCTCTTTGTTTTCCATTTAGCTCCTGTTTATGAAGCTGAGTGCTTGCAGCTCCGACAGGGAACATGCCAGGAAATGGGGAATGAAGGGTTCCCACACATGTCCCTGGCTGGAGAGTGCAGCAGTGATAGCCAGGGCTCCACTGGACAAAGAATGACCATGAGCACCTGAGCAGTTGAGTCTGTTAAAATATAAAGGAAGAGGAAATTCCTATAACTGCTTATGAACCCACACCCCAAACCTTGGCTTCAGAGTGTATTAGAGATTTAGAGACAGCAGAAAGGAGGAAATCAGCATGACACCATCAGCTTTTCCTAAATTTTATTATATCCCAGTACATTGTAAAATATTTTACCAACTCTGGAAGTGTTAACCATCTCTAGAAGTGTTCAAAAGGCATGTGGATGTGGCACTTGGGGATGTGGCTTAGTGGTGAACACAGCAGTGCTGGTTTAATGGTTGGACATGATGGTCTTAGAAGTCTTTCCAACCTGAAGGATTCTGTGATATTTGAGCTTATTACATTTTTACTCTTTTTCCTGATGTCTGACTCAGAATTTGAGAAAATGTAATGCTGGCGTTACTGGAGAAGAAATGTGATGTGAAGATAATTTTAGTTTCCAAAGAGCCCGCTTCAAATGGCTGTGATTTTGCTTTCAGCCAGTGCAAAAAGTCAGCCTGACACCTTTTGTTAAATAATGCATAACGCCTTGGCTGCAGGCAGAGGTCTGGCACACAGCCCTGCCCCCTCAGACCCTGCTCAAGTGCTATTGAGTGGCTTCCAGTGGATTACAGGCAGGGAGTGGGCTTTGTCCTGGCTCCTGCACAGCCAAACGTCATTATTTTCCAGGAGAGCCACTCTGCTGATGGAGCTTTGTGTTATTCCATGCAAATAATCTCAATCGGAAGGTACCCGCTGCTCAAAGCACTAAACTGAACATTCAACTAACTGTCACTGCCATTATCTGACAAACCTGCAAAAGAGGAAAAAAGAAAAAAATAACCAAGCCGAAGGGCAGGATTGTTTGGCATGGAAGCATTCCTGGCTGTCACCTCTCTGTCTCTGCTGGCAGCGTGTCTGCCAAGACCCTGGAGCCCAGTGGTGAGAGAGACTGTCCCACCTTGTCAGGTGGTACCAGGTGTGCTGTGGCTGTGCCCTGCCTGCCGTGACACCTGTCAGGCTCCCCTGATGGGATTTAAACACGGCATTGTCTTGTCTGATTCCAACAGAATCAGTCCTCAATCTGCCTCACTTAGCATTTAGCGTGCAGAAAAATCGACGTAGACACACCACCTCAGGTTTTCTGTCCCCTCTTGCAGCACTGACAGTGCTCCCCAAGGGGAATATTCTGCTACTGCCAGCAGCCTCCTGGGGGAAGGCAGGTTTAGCAGCAGCAGGGTTGTAGTGTTGCCAGATGAAGCAGCTCCCATCATCCAGCTGCCTTGGGAAAAGCCAGAACTGGCTCTCATTGTCGACCGTGCTGATGATGAAGTGAGAGCAGCTGTGGGCAGAACTGGGCACGTGTGTGCCAGGGCTCAGGTGGGAAGACACTGCTTTTCCTGGGAAGTTGCTGGGCACCCTCTATTTTTTTTTGTCACCAAACACTTTAAGATACAGCTACAAAACACTCTATCGATGTCCACACCTACACTACAAAAATCCACCACCACTGCTGGGTGTCCTGAGGCAGCCAGGTGTGGGGAGGGTGGTAGAGGCACCCTGAGTACTGGTGCCCTGGAGACCAGCCATCAGCCAGGACAGTCTGTGGCTACCTTCCTCCTGGATATCACCTACTCTTGCTCATCTCTACACATGGACAGCTCAGTCACGGCACAGCCCACTGCTCTCCACAGGAGGAGACAGGTGGTCTACCTGCAAAACAGGGAGAGCAGCCCAAGCCCCACTCCAGGTGGAGGAATGCGCTGAGATTCCTGTTCCCCACCATAACATCCCCCCTGCCACAGCCACCCACTGTCCTCAGTGTCCTGCTGTGCAAGCCCCAGTGCCAGCCCAATGCCAGCCCATCTACACAGTACTGCCCTCTCTATCAGCTCCTATCCATCATCTTCTTTCAGCTCCCTGTGGGACTGCAGGAGCTGGAAGCAGGGACACAGAGCAGTAGTGCAGAGCTGCTCTCCTGTGCACCCTGAGCAGGGCAGCAAAACCCCAAAGAGCTGGCAGAAAGGGACTAGAGGGCCAGGGTGGGATGTTACGGCAGTCCCTGGGGCCACATGGATTCACAGCATTGATCGAGCTGCCATAAGAGTCCCCTCCGGGTCTGTCTAAGCGCTGGGATCATGGAGCTGCTGGTCATGCAGTGATGGATGGGACACAAGGCCATTCCTCAGAGCCAAAAGGAAGGCAGAGTTCAAGGGAAGGTGAAGGGTGCAAAAAAGAACGGGCCTAAAGCAGTGGGTTAACCTCAATAATTGGTTGGGATCATGTATTAAAAATACATCTATTGCTGATAAGGGATCTGCTCACAGGAATACTGGTTGTGATTTGCATGCCAAAAGTGAGATGAGATGAGATGAGATGAGATGAGATGAGATGAGATGAGATGAGATGAGATGAGATGAGATGAGATATGAGATGAGATGAGATGAGATGAGATGCAGTGTCTTTGTCCCACACTCATCCAGCAGCCCCTGAACATAGACAGGAAAAGGGACTGTCTGCTCTGCAGGAACAGAGACAGGATTGGGGAGTGCTCCATTTTTCTAAGGAAAGCTGCTGAGCTACTTAACCCTTGACAGGGTGATCTCAGGGTCTGGAGCAAAAGTCTGACGAGCATAGGCTGAGGGAGCTGTGGGGAGCTCTGCCTGGGATGAAAGAGGCTCAGGGAGGACTTCTCACTCTCTCCAACTGCCTGAAAGGAGATTGTACCAACATGGTGGGGGGTGTCAGGCTTTTCTCACAGAAAACATGAGTTAGGATAAAAGGAAACAGCCTCAAGCTGTGGCAGGGGAAGTTTAGAATGGATAATAGGGAAAATTTCTTCACAGAAAGGGGGGGATCAGACACTGTAACAGGCTGCCCAGGGCAGTGGTGGAGTCGCTATGCCTGGAGGTGTGCAAAAGGTGTGTGGACGTGGTACATCCACATGCCATGGGGACATGATTTAGAGGTCAGCTTGGCAGTGCTGGCGGAGTGGTTGGCCTCAATGATCTTAGAGGGCTTTTCCAACCTAAACAATTCTATGATTCTATGAGAGAAAAAGAAGTGTGTAGCAGAACCCCATGAGCATCTCTCTGTAGGGCATCACAACGAGCAGTGACCACCTGCACCAGTGACTGCACAACACTCCCAGACACATGGTGGGATTGTTGGGTTTGTCGTGTGCAGGGCCAGGAGCTGTAGTTGATGATCCTTGTGGGTCTCTTCCAGCTCAGGACATTCTGTGATTCTCTGAGCTGCCTAACCCCAACATTCTTCCTGCACAGATCTCCACGTCAGCCATGCTGGCACTGACTGCCTGTGCCCGGGGCAGCCTTGGGATCGGTGCTCAATAGCTGGGACACGGCTGTGACTGCTGGGAGAGAGGAGACACGGACCACCCTGCTGCAGACAGTGCTGCAGGTGCCTCTGCCCTGGAAGGCCATAGGAAAGAGACAGGGAATATTTTCAATCACATATTGGCATCCTAAAGAAGGAAAATTGGACAAACCCTTACCTATGGAAAACTTTTGCCAGTTACCTCAACCCTCAGAGCACGTGAAAGGTCCCTGGTTATAGCGGGCAGGGGATGGGAATGGGGCAGGGGCATCTCTGGGCCACCTCCGCAGGTCCTGCCACCTAGCCAGGCAAGCAGAGTGCTGGCAAGGATCAGTTAAGGCACAGACAGGGAGCAGGCCGGGAGTCCCTTTTGCTCTGGGCAGCAGCTGCAACTGATAAACCCTTCACCCCTTATTTTCTGCTGAGGACAAAAGCCATCAACAAAGTCTTAATTAAAAAACAACCATCAAGCAAAAAGCACAGCTAATTGCTTTTTGACTGCAGAACAAAAGCCCCTCATCTGCCTAATTACACCACAAAAATGAGAAGAATTTAAACAAGAATTATAAGCAATCACAGAAGCTAGGAGAGGAGTGAATGCCTATGGAAACCTGGAAGCAGGGCTGAGCACAAAGACTCAGGCAGCATCTAGAAGAGGGGGATGACAAGGAAAGTATTTAAGGCTCATTATACTGAGTCAACTGGCTGCTCCTCAAGTACCCTCTTGCTCAGGCAGGCGCTCCAAGCACCCATCGTGTGCATCCTGGTGAACTGAAGCTCTCCAGTACCCTGGAGAAGTCCTATGGATCAAAGTCATGGTCTGTCTTTGGCAGGTGGGGGAAACTCATGAGTCATTTGCCCACCAAGGCCATCAACCCTCAAATGCTGTCCCTACTCAGGGAAAAACACATTTCTCCCACCTCCTCTGCCTGAATCACAGCTGGATGCTCTGCAGGGTGGACGGCCACACAACATCTCCTGAAAGCAGAGCCTCCCCACGGGTGAGTGCTAAAGGCTCTCTGTGGGCTCGGCAAAGGTCAGGTTCACAGAATCACAGAATCTCCTGAGTTGGAAGAGATTCCCAAGGATCATCAAGTCTAGCTCCTGGCCCTGCACAGGACAACACCAAGAATCCCACTATGTGCTTGAGAACACTGTCCAAACACTCCTTGAACTCTGGCAGGTTCCTATTTGGATGAGGAGATGAGGATGGAAAAGGATGAGAGAGCTCTGGGCTCTGTATCTGAAGGATGGAAAACCCAGAAGAGAACCCAAGTCCTGCAGCTTACCTCCTCCCAAGCCCAGGGCTGTGCAGTGGCCCACCGAGGCAAGGGGAGCAGCCTGTCCCTGAGACAGGAGGATGGGAAAAGGGAAAAATAATTTTGGTGTGAGAAAAATCAGCAGGGGAGAAAGGAGGTGGGGAAACAGGATGAGGAATGTAGATTACATTGAAAATCTCATGGTCTTCACTGGAAGAACAAGTCCTGCGCTCCCAAGGGCTGCAAGGAGACAATGACCAGGAAAGCTGGAAACAGTCAAATTAATATTTCCTTACCCAGAGGATAGTTAACCTACTGTGCCAGGAGGTCCTTATACCAAATACCAGGTGTCAGACTTTGGGAAAGGGGCTCATGACACCACAGGGTGCATGGTCCAAGGTCCCTCCAAAGAGAAGATTCACTGTCATCCCAAGGCGCTGGATTCCCCTTGGATAGCCAGGTTTCAGGAGAGCAGGGACACAAAAGGACACACTTGAGCAAGAGGTCGTGCTTCCCGGTGATCAAAGCACAAGACCATTACAGTCCACAGCACAGGCAGGTGCAAACCTTTACACAGGTCACTCTCCTCAGTCACTTCTTCCATTGCACCTGTATATGCAGCTCCCACTGCCCTGGAGGGGCAGGCAGGGCTCTCAGTGCTCTGTACCCATGAGTTACAGGGAACCTGCCCTTTGGGCTGAACCCCTGCTCAGGTCCCAACCGGCCCCAGATCCAGCATCAGACATAACATTTAATACTGATTATTCCTACCTGCAGTGTAGACCAGGAGACCGTTCTCTCAGAAATGCCAAGCACCACGTGCGAATCAATAGTTCATTTCTTATCATAGGGACTGGGGAGGGAGAGACTGTCAACATGAGGAAATCAAAGAAAATGCAAGTGACACAGCAACAAGTCTGAATCAGCCCCATGGCACCAGCTGGAGGTCGGAGCAGCAGAGGGACTGCACGTCACTGTCAAACTTGGAAGTGCTGGGAGATGAGAAAGCAAAGCTTTGTGTTTCAGTGGACCAGTGGAGTGGGAGATCTGGTTTGGCCCCACGCTGAAGATGCTCCAACCTCAAGACCCCACATGAAGTTCAGACATGTGGCTGCAGTGCTGCCAAGGTGCCCTTCATTCCAGGCAGGCCTTTTAGCAGGAGTAATGATCCCACCTTTCATGAACAAATCCCTATAGGTTTCTAAAAGAAAGGAGTTGCTGGAATATGTCTCAGACCCCAGAAATAGCAAGAGGGAATTTGCTAGCCTGCAATTAAAGATTTTTCAACAGTAAAAGCACCCTCACAGGATCTGGGATGATGACATTTATCCAGTCTTGAAGTCACTGTTTCGCAATGTGCTGGCAAACACAGCCAGTTGCACCAAGGGATGCTCTTCCAAATTTGCTATGTCCATCAGGTGACCAGGAAGGCCCCTGTGCCCGCTGACACACCCCAACCCCGTAGTGGGGGGTGACTCTCCATGGAAGGCAGAGCCACTGAGCCTGTCCCATCAGCAGGCATGTTATACTCCTGTAGGAAAGTCCACCTAGTGTTAAACCAGTCCTGACAACTAATTGCTCAGCTGTCCAGGCCAACAAACTTGAAACTCCTTTAGTGTTGAATAACAGAATCATTAGAGTTGGAAAAGCCCTCTAAGATCATGGAGTGCAACCATTCCTCCAGCACTGCCAAAGCCACCACTAAACCATGTCCCCAAGTGCCACATCCACATACTTTTTGGAACACTTACAGGGATGGTGACTCCACCATTGCCTTGGGCAACCTGTGCCAGTGCCTGATCCCTTTCAGTTGAATGCTGAGTTACCTTGCATCAGTGACTCCTTTTGGAAATTCTGACCTACCTGGCTGTGCCAAAGGCAAGTAAGATTTGTAGGAAATCATGTCTGAACCATCTGTCTTGCCTAAAATCTTGTGCTGTGCTGTATTTGCTCTCAGTCCTTAGTAGATGCTCTGCACAGTGGCCTGGAGAGGGATGACCAAAATAAGCAGATGAAGTAACTGAGCTTGAACTCAACTCCTCCCTTGATCCCCAGGCTTGATGTGGCTCTGGACACAGGAGAACCACATCTGGGGATGTATCAAGTGGAAAATGCTGGAGAGCAGAAAGGGTGCCCATGAAAGTAGTGTATATTTTTCTCTTGAGGTTTTTTTTCTACAGAGGAAATCAATATATACAGTCAAAATTAAAATGAGGATAACAGCAACCAGCAGCCAGGCTGTGGTCATCACTCTCTGAGTCCCTCTGGCACCCTGGGTACAACCCAGCACTTTGCTGGCGTGTTACTGCTCACTGCAGTACGCACAGCATCCCTGTCGAGGTGCTCAGGCACAGGAGAGTACTGGCCTGATCCAGCTGTGGGCAGCTGCAGTCCCATCTCCTGGACAGACAGGCTGGGATGCAGGAGAGCGAGAGTCATGAAGGCCAGAGAAGGAAGTCAAGAGTGGGACTGTGGGAGAGTTTAGGGGTCCAGAGGAGTAGGCAGGTATGGGCTGCGAGAAGAAGAATGGGGCAGCTCCTGGCTCCAGCAGAGAGGCTCATAACTGAGACTCATCCATCCTAATCTGCCCCTCCTTCTTCCTGCTGCCCCAAACATGAGGGTTTGAGTTTACCTAGGGCAGCAGTGATGCTATTTCTCATATTTCTTGCAAATCTTCTTCTGCCTCAGCAAACCAGCACTGGCTTATGTAAGAGACCTCAGGGATATTTGCAGGAGGCAGAGGCACTCCAGCAGGCAGGAGGTGTGTTTTGTAACACTGCACACTCTGCAGGGAGGCTGGGGAGGCAGGGATGCTGCCAAGCAAGAGCCAGTGCAACAGTCCCGGAGCTGTGGTGGCGCTTTGAGGTCCTTTTTTCTGGAGAAAAGAACAAACAACAAGAGATGGAATTCTCCTTGCCAGCTTGTACCTAAACAAGATGCCTCTGAAAGGGGAGAGTTTGTCAGCAAGAGCACAGAGGTTGTCACAGCCCCAGAACCTGAGGGTCTGTCTGACACCTGGCAGGACTGTTTGTCCTCAGCTGGTGTGCTTGGGATGCAGAGCCAGAAGGGAATTGCCAGTATCAACTCTTTTGGTTTGCACATTTTTATTCAGCACAGCATCTCCTTCCTCATCCCTTACCTCAGCCACCCTTGCCACCAAAAACTTCCCACACGTTCCAGACAGCACTGTGTCTGCTGGGTTGGAGGCACCTTACCAGCAAGAAGAATCATAGAAACCCAGAGTGGTTTGGATTAGAAACGACCTTAAACATTATCCAGTTCCAACTCCTGCCATGGGCAGGGACACCTTCCACTAGACCAGGTTGCTCAAAGCCCCATCCAATCTGGTCTTGAACACTTCCAGGCATGGGGCAGCCACAGCTGCTCTGGGCAACCTGTGCCAGGGCCTCCCCCCCCTCATAGTGAAAAATTTCATTCCAATATCCCACCTAACCCTGCCCTCTGGCAGTGGGAAGCCATTTCCCCTTGTCCTGTCACTCCGGGCCCTTGTCCAAAGTCCCTCTCGAGCCCTCTTAGAACCTTCAGGTTTTGGAAGGTACTCTAAGGTCTCCTTGGAGCCTTCTCTTCTCCAGGCTGAACAGTCCCAATTCTTTCAACCTCAAGAACCCAGCAGCACTTGTGCTTACCGTGAACACACCAGCAGCTGTGTCTGAGGACTCCAGGGGAGCAGCTCTGACCTGTCTGGTTTATTAAAAAACTCATATAAAATCTTTGCCATGTTTCAGTTGACCCTGATAAAGAAAGCCTGGAAGAAGCTCTGGGTACGTCTTAAGGCTTTAGATCTGGGGGTGGTTACATTGTGGGACTGGTTATATTCATCATAGGATGTTGATAGGCTCCAACACTCAAGGTCACTTGGGATCAGACTTTGTTACATGTGTGTATGCCTCTTGTCTGACCTTATTCCAGACAAGCCAGCAGGAACCAAATTAACCCCATCCCTGGAAGTGTTCAAGGCCAGACTGGATGAGGCTTGGAGCAACCTGGTCTAGTGGAAGGTGTCCCTGCCCATGGCAGGGAGTTGGAATGATATGGTCTTTAAGGTCCCTTCCAACCCAAACCATTCTATGAATCCGGGGATCCCGGACACTGCGACATCAGGGCGGCACAGGACTTCTTTTACCAGGGAGATGCTGGGTGATGCTGGGAGCTCTGTAACCTGGACCTGTGATCCTTCTGTGCCTGGAACAGCATTTGTGGTTGCAGACACATGCCCAGTTCTCGCTTGCTATGATGCTCCATGGTGACTGTAGGACCCCCATGTAAGAAATGGGAAAGGATATGAACTGGTTTGGGAATTTCTCTTTGCTCAAGTGACCTTTTGTGGCTGGGAAACTTAAGTTTGGAAGAATGTGTGGGAATAGGGACATTCTCTCTTTCCCTCAGGCTGTTTTTTGTCAGGACACACAAAACAGGCAAACCCTTATCAAGGAAAGTGCTTGCAAGCTAAATCAAAGCATTCTTTTGCTGCAGATGGGGAAAGGGGAGAAGAGAAGGGGAAGAAACAGCAGAAAAACAGCCCAGAGAGCAGTATGCGCATGCCCTGGGCCTTTGACAGATGTGACAAGGAGCCCAGCTTGGGGTGAGTTTTTTCTTTTCACCTAGCTGTGAGTTCTGCAGTTGTATGTATAGTGTTTCTGAAATAAACTTAGTTTGACTCTCAAAAGCCCATGGCTTAGCTCTCTGGTTACCTGCACACACAGTGATGCACTGGTGCTGGGACCAAGTCATGGCAGCAAACCAGTCTCCTGCTGTGCAGCAGTCCAGCACCTCAGAGTTGTGCTGGGAAAATCTTGTTGTGCACAGGGAAATCTTCTCCCCCAGCACAAGGAAATCTTCTCCCCCAGCCAGATTTACTCTGCTCTCTCTACAAAGGTAAAGACAGAAATGTGATGTAGAAAACAAGGACTCATTGAGCAGTGGTTGTAAAATAGGTTGTTACAGGGGTGTGGACAACTTAGTATCCCCCTATCTGCACTTACAGAGGATAAACAAATCCAAGCCAGCCTTGGGGGCTGGTTGTCCAACCTGTTCTTCACACTTTGTTGTTGATGGACTCCATAAGGCTGGGATGTAAGAGCTGTTTGGAGCCTGCAGCACTACCAAGGGACTGTGAGCCAGGCTGCTCTGGGTACATTCCTCTGCAGTCCCTCTAATTCAGGAGTCTGGGTATGCTGAAATGTGGAGGCAATTTGCTCTTGTGTATGGGATCACTGAATTTCAGAATTATAAAAACAGGAGTCACAGCAAGAATAAAGGAAAGGCCTAGTGGAACACTCACTTGGATGAAGTCAGGTATGATGTGACAGCAGTGGTGAAGGGAAGATGTAATTCCTGTTTATCTTCCAAACACTCTGCTGTTTTTGCACATCCTGGGCTAGCTTTAAAAGCACCACACTATTAAGAAGGCCTGTGGCAGTTGCTGAGCAAGATATCCTGCAGGAACAATACCTGAACTCCCTGGAAGAGATTCTGGCTGGTCCTTGCACCAAGCCATGCAGCCCCTAGCCCGACTTAAGTCCCTCTTACATTCCTCTGCTTTTGGCATCCCCCTCACGCCATTCTATATTGTGTTGGAGGCAGCCCATGCTAAAGCCTAGGATTTATTCTGTTTGCATACAACTCTTTGAATTATAGATTTGGTCTTTGTTATTTCTGTCTCCAATTCTTCCCCTACGAAGTGCATCAGTCACTATGGAAACGATTATTGTGTTGGGATGAGCAATCCTCATGACAGCCCTGAAAACAGCAAAAAGTCAGTACATTTGCTGCACCTTTTACTTAGTTCAGTGAGTTGCTAATTAGCTCTTCCCTTCAAAGTGATCAAAATCACCAATGATCTGGAGAGAAAAATAGAGCTTTGACTGGTTGCTTTGATCATTTTGTTCTAACTTGGCATGAATTGGAGAAACCCAATAGACAGTTTCTGGAGCACTAATCACCATCTACTCCTCCATGTAGGAGGACCAGAGGACCAGCTGGATGCAGGAAGCTCCCAGCAACTCACAGCATCAGTGCTCGAACCACTGAGCAAAGGAGAGAGCCCAGCAGAGTCCCAGGGCTATAGAGCTGACAAAGTCATTGCAGCAGGGTTGGGGGGTTTAAGAAGGCCAGTGGCACCTGGTTTGTACCAGCACTAGCGCGGCTCAGGGGGGACCTTCTGACAGGAGCATGGAGCCACGTGGGGATTGGGCTCTGCTCCCAGGGAATAAGTGACAGGATGAGAGAAAATGGCCTTAACTTGTGTTGGGGGAGATTTGGATTGGAGATTAGGAATAATTTCATCATAGAACCTGTGGTCAGGCACTGGAACAGGCTGCCCAGGATAGTGGTGGGATCACCATCTCTGGAGGTGTTCAAAAGATACGTGGATGTGGCACTTGGGGGCATAGTTTAGTAGTGGGCTTGGCAATGCTGAGAGAATGGTTGGCCTCACTGTTCTTAGAGGGTTTTTCTGACCTTTATGATTCTAAGAGAGAGAAAAAAATAACAGGGCCCCACAAGCATCTCCCTGCAGGGCATCACAATGAGCAGTGACTGCCTGCAGCAACAACAGCATTGGCTCTGCCAGGTCTGACTTGGCTGGATCCCAAGGCCTGCTCAGATTTCTGGAAGGACTAGATGGATCCAGGGGTGAGAGCGAAGAGGAGCCTGAGCAGGGCATCTCCTCCTTTCTCTGCCCAGTGGGAAGAGGCTCAGATGAGGATGCTCCCAAAGGAGAACCTGACTGGCTTCTCAAGGGCTGCTGAATGGGAGATGCAGATGAGCACTGCTGGGTCTCTAGTAAAAGCTGATGGCACAGGGCCAGGCTCACATCAGCAGCCAGACAAGCTCTTTGGTGTGGTAAGGAACAGACAAAAAGAGGACTGGGAAAACTATCCTGATCCCAAATCACTCTCAAAGAAGCTGATGTCTCTGCAAGAATAAATTCAGGGAAATCCTCTGGATTGTGATAAGCCTGGATCTGCAGTATACAACAGTGAAGACCAAATTGTCAGTGGGATGGGACAGACTGAGCTACCATTGCATTTCTCTTCTTTGTCTCTACACGGGGAGAGCTTATTACAGCTCAAATAACAACCCTGTAATTAATCCTTCCTGCTTTCTCTATTCAGCATCATCACAGCAGTGATTGGTATAAACATTTCTGAAGGTTAGAAGCAGTGCTACACTTCCCATCACCTTCCCTAGGAGCACCTCCCGCTGCAGGACCTTGCTCTCCTAGTCCATCCCCTTGGCTGCAAAGGCAGCCCACTGTTCCCACTACCTGCACTACCCTGGGCTGTCACCTTGGGAATCTTCCTTCCCTCGGCACTCCCACCCTGTGGAGAGCCCAAGGGATGGCTGGGAGCTGCCTACAGCCCAGTGCCACAACTGGGCACAGCCAGGTCCCAGGGGTGGCAGTCTGTGATGTGTCATGTGGGTGCTCATCCCTGAGGAAAGAGCTTCATTGAACTGCTACAGTTAGAGAGAAGCAGACTAAATAATCTATTTCCCATCCCTTCCTGGCATTCCAGCATTATTAAAAAGTGCTGATGTCTCCAGATTGATACCCAGGAGGAGTTGCAAGGGAGGTCACCGGTAATCGCACGCAGACAGGCTGGTTGCTCCTTCACACAGCTGAATGAGGCGTTCTGACTTCTCCCCTGTGCATACCTCAAGGATTTCCTATCCCTGAGAGGACACATGGCATTTGGGGTCCAAGCCAGTTTCTGACTCACCTTCCCAGAGCTCTCTCTGTCTGGGCACAGGAGCACAGGGCTGACTTGCAGATACCCCACTCCAGTGTCTGTATTACCTAAAACACGTTTTTCTTCCCCAGTGTCCCTCCAGGCAGTTTAATGTGTTTTTAGATTTAATGCCACCATTTTTCACCCTGTGCACTCTGTTTTTCTCTTCACATGCCTGTATACACCCCACTGTATCTGCCTGTGCTATGTGTTTTGTACAGGGACTGTAAGCCAGGGCTTCATTCAGGTCTGGCCCAGGGCAAGTTTAGGTGCCTCCTGCGAGGTCAGACTTGCTGTAAGGACTTGAAGGCCAGATTCAGCCGACCATGTTACACCTAAATTTCAAGGCTTCATTCCCAAGGACTGCTATGAAGAGGTGGAAATCACTGGAACAGCTTTCAGATGTGGCCGATGGGGCAATTCCCTGATATAGATACTGCCTCCTTAAAAGGGTTGTGTCTTCCCCTGGTAATAAGGCATTCCCTGGGGCTCTCGTGATCATCACCAAGGCAATGCCCCGACTGTAAGGCTGGGGGATATCCTGCTCCAAGATTCAGCCCAGCTGCCGACAGCTCCCTGTTGTAGCAAGATTGGATGCAGTGGGAAATCCCTGCACATCACCCACAGCATCATATATACAAAAGATGGTGAGGTCACCATAATGATAGAATGAGTCTTTCAAAGTACTCTGTGCCATCTCATGGAAAATCTTAGATCCAAATCCCACCTCAGCTGAAACCCACAGATCTGCTCCCTGTGGACCCAGGAGCTCGGGCAATCTTCTGCACTGCTGAACCAGGCAACATCCAGGTGCCAGGAATGCAGCCAATTCAAATGTCTTCGTGCCACTTGGCAAACGCTACATCCATGGTTTTTATTTTTCTATGGATGCATTTTAGGTTTTACTGTTAAGAAAAAATTAAATATATAGCTTAATAAATGACACCCAAACAATCTTTTACCTATGTCTGTACTCACTGAAAACTAAACCATTTTCATAAACAAGCTTGTCAACAAGTTGCGGGAAAAGGTAAAATTAAGCCATAAATGCAAACCTTTTCTTCATATGAACATCTGTAATGCCTTCAAAATAGAAGGAAATTAAAAACCAATCAACTCAATAAAATCAGGGTAGGAGCAAATTAACAAACTATTCTTACAGAGGTTACCCTTTCTTGAAAAGTCCACAAATAGGCTGATCTCCTGCTCTGTGTCATTTAAAAGGTACAAAAGTGTTCTCATTTCAGTAGCACTTTCCATCCCAGGTAAACTCAATCCAAAAGGCAGCTCAGGTGTGCCAGCAGTTACCTGCACCAGGGCTGTTCTTCCTTTCAGTACTGTGTGCTGTTAAATCTCTCTTTCACACATGGCACAGCCCAGAGATGTTTCTGCTGGATTTACCGGGTTAATTCTGAAGTCTGATCACATAACGCTGTGGCAGAGAAAAATAATCTCAACACATCCAAATTCAAAGCCCAAAGATATAACCTTTGTGGAAAGCAGTTTGCACTGCTGAGAATAAATCTCTATCTCTGCTCATGTATAAAGATCTAAGAATAAATTATTTGATAATGTTTATCCTTGCAATGTGCATGAAAGTACATAACTCATTATATGTCTGGTGTTCAGGATAAGCAGCTGAGCGCTGGCTAGCTGCATTCTTGACTGGATAGAAATGC